CTTTGCAATTTGTTGTGATTTATGTAACGCTTGTTGTGGTGTAATTTTTGCTGTTTTTTTCTCTACAGGTTTTTTGCTGTTAGTCAGACTCTGGCCTAGTTTGTTTATCGGCCTTATCACACTGACCATATTTTATTGGCATTTCTTCTGCCAGGTTTGTGCCTGTCTGCTTGTTTCCCATTTGTGCTTGGCCAGGCAAATTGAAAAGGCCCACAACGCTCTCTGTGCAATATAGGGAGAAATTATGCCCTGGCCTGAAATTGACAGCACATTTAATTAATTTACAAATTCTTGCCGTTTTAGTTCTGCTCTCTATATACACATTTTCCACTTGAGATCTGGCCGTTTATTATGCGTTATTCGTGTCAGCAAAGTGTGATCATAAAATAAATTTCGTTTTCACTCGATTGCACTCATAAAAGTTTTATCTCTTGGCAAAGTTGCCATTATTTTCAAAAATGTGTTAGACATTTATTATGAGCAATGCATTATTGGTCATGGTTTGATTGCTAGAAAGTTGACAATCAGAGTCGTAGTTAATTTCCATGTTATAATTATACTGCTCAAACTGCTCAACGGGACTCTTCGACATTTTCTACAACCATAACATTGCCAAAACTGATTTTAATTATTTTATTTTCAAAATTCAAAAATAATACTACGGAATTGCTAATAAACTGCCGGATTGAATAAATAAATCTAAAAAAAAATGTATATTTTCCACAACTTAATTATCTTTTGTCTAGATGGAAAAGTTGGCACAATTAATGGTGCATAAATTGCTGATTAGCTAATTAAACTTGGCCTTGCAATTAAATGACACTAACCAGATTACACACGCGCAAGAAGAGTATTAAATAAAGACAGAGGGGCAACGGGGGATTAGAGATTATTTGGCGCGTGGCAAGCCGGCAGCAAGCCATTATCTATATATATTGATTTTTGTCATTAGATCTGGCATGGAAATTACTAAAAAATATAAATAGGAAATAGGAAACTCGCTGCTTGGCAAAAGCAAGAACAACAACAATTTTAAAACATTCTGGAATATATATATACATATATAATATTTTTTATGATGAGGCTGCAGCTAAATCTAATACTTGCTTTTCTTTTTAATAAGCTTAATATTATTCTTTTGTGCCTTCGACTATGCGCAGCCCAAATCCCTTTTATGTTCTCGAGTTACCAACCTGTCGTAGTGCCACAGTTGCCACAAGCTTTGTTGCGTCCCACGGTCTCCGTCAAGTGTCTTAGGCAGTGGCAGAGGCTGTGGCAGAGGCTCAGGCAGATGTAGAGGCAACGTTGCGTATAAGAAAAGTTTAACACTTGCCACACGCCAACCCAAACTTGACCAGCATGATTTTCACTGTATGGCTTGCAGATACTTTTGTGATAAAAAAGAAAGGAAGAGTTAACGGAAGACTTATTTTAGACAAGCCGACGACTCTATATCCTTGCCGGTAAATATATATGTATATGTAATATCAATCCTTTTGATTCTCTTGTACAGTTGCGACACAATTAATTATTTTAAAAACATGAAAACTTAATATATTTATTGAAGATAATTAAACTCTGCAAAACAATAAAATTATCAAAACAAATAAAAATTAAACTCAAATTAATAGTGCAGAAATCGCTGTGGTAATTAGTAAAAAATTACAATTCAAATAAAGTTAACATTTGATTTTTTAATGAAGATGAATAAACCTAGAAAAATGGGTTGACTGACAATTTATTAATAATCAAAAATGTAAGTAGACATTTGGTATTTGGTTTCTTCATAAAAATGACAAAATTTTGGCTTACTTGAGGGGAAAGCTATGTCCAAGGTCTTTTCATTTCGTAATAAAGCTTTGAGTTAAAGATTTGGTTAATTTAAGCTGAAGCACTTTTAACGTCGCAGGCAAAATTCTTAATCAGGATTGAGATCGGGAACCATCCCATCACCTTTACTCCATTGGACTGGAAACTTCGCGAGAAAACCAACTTACATATTTATAAGGTGTTTTTACATTATTTATAAACAATATTAAATCATCTCATCTGTAGCTAGTTCGCTACACAAACAAACTTTATCAACTGAGCTTAAAGACGATATCTTTTAATGCTTCAAAATTCACTTCACTTCAAAATTATAAAACTCTGTGCAAGGGTATCAAAAAATAAAATAAATATAAAAAAATGGAAAAAAGCAGAACAAACACAAGAAATTGACCGTCATTTGTTTTCTTGACACTTTGAAGAGCGCCCAGTGCCAGCTTATTTTTTATATTTCCAAGGACCCCAAAATGGGTTAAGTCTCCCCTTCTACCTTTCTCTCTCTTCCCTCTCCTTGCTATAGATAGCAACTCCTTCAATGACTCGTCGTCAAAGTCGTGGACAACTTTGCATAATTTTGGCCGCTTGGTCTTTTGCTGCGTCCGTCCATTGTTTGTCACTAAATAAGTCGCAAGATGATATTAATAACACCTCATTATCGCTTCATTCTATTTTTCAGCACATTGTGAAATATGCTCGAAGCGCGCAACCATTTATCATAATCAAAGCCGTGGTATGCAAAGAGGGATTGAGGTTGGGGATTGGACTTTTAAAATTCCACAATTCTGTTGTCATCCTCAATTTTGAGTGGCTGCTCGTTGAGTAAATTGGTTAAAGTTGTGGCTTGCAATTGTTATTGATGAGCAGCGTTGAGTGTCGCGAGTGCTTTATTAGCCGATTATCAATTTAATTTAATGATTGCATTGATCATTTTTCACTTAGCGTCATCAAGAGCGAACTTCAAATTCAATTCATGTGGTTGCACTAATTTTGTGCTAGTAAGTTGATTCTCAATAATGACATTTGTACTTATGGCTTTTGAAAATTTAGATTGATTAAATAAAAATTAATTGTCCGTATATAATTTAATTTTTCGACAGTTATAATCTCAACACGAATATTCTTTAAAAACTAAGTTTATTTTCAAGAACGTATTCATTTTATATTTATTTTTTTTGGGAAGTCTGTATTTTTTCTTGTGGTTAACCAATCAAATATAATAAATACTTCAAAGCTCGCAGCTTAAAATTAAATTCTGCTTCGGAAATATGTTTCTTTTAAGTTCTTAACTTACTTATTTGCCTCTACTTTTCAGCAGAAATTAATTCTGTATATTCTTCTGTAGCTTGGCCTAAATATTGACCGCTGTAAAATGCCATAAGTTTAAAGAGATTTCCATAACGATGCATCGTCGATTCGTACTGATTGGCCTAGACAGGCAAATTGCCAATTGCCTCGGTGTGTGAGGACAATCAGGCTCAAGTTGTCAAAGGAAAGAAATCGCACCCAAATGGAAATACTTATACATATAAATATATATAAATATATATACAAGTGCGTGACTCTCAGCTCACTGGGCACTGGACAGCTATGTAGTATATATTTATACATTTATTCCTGTAGGTATGATGAGGTGGATTGGGTTGGGTTGTGTCAATGTCAGAAGTTGTTGTCCAAATAATTTGCATTTGCAATTGTCTGAGCGAGCTGTCTGTTGTTAAGACAGCCAAATGCTAAATATTTGGCAACAGTCTACAGATGACCAGTTAGTCAGTCTATCAGTTCATCAGTTCATCAGTCAGTCGTTGGACATGGGCCAATACAATTTAATTAATTAAAGTGAAGCCAATTGGATTTGCTTATGCAATATATAAAATGCCCGCAACTTTGTTTGATAAGTAAATAGTTCGCCAAAGAGCTAAGTCTGATGCCCAAATGTCAAATACAAAGTAAGTAAAAACAAATAAATATATTGCGTATACGCAATGCACTTTGTTCTCACTTCACTTAAAAAAAGATTTCCCAATTGAAAATATTTTACGTATTTTACTAAACTTATTTAACTTAAGTCGCATAAACTCTCGAAAGTATTCATTAAATTTTCTTAACTCCACTTATTATAAATGAATTTCTTAATAATAGATAATATTTTTCGGAAATAGAGAAAAATTCCGTCGATTTGGGGTTTTCGACTTAAAGCAAGATTTTATAATTTGTAGAAAAAGACAAGAAAGCTGTTGGCTTATATTTAGAAAATATTTCTAAGGACAAACTTTTTAGTTTACAAGGCGATTTTTTTTTTTTTTGAGTGTTCTTACTGGCTCCTTACTCGGTCCAGTGGAATGTAAATAAAAGTTTTAGTTTTGCATTTATTTGGTCAACCAAATCTGTGGGGAAGAGAAATGTAAATGGAGTTGCTGTGAGCTGAATTGCAACAATTTGTTAACTGCATTCATTTGCATTTCGCTCGAATGCATTCTAATAACTTTGATTGAATGCGCAGCAAATAAGACAAACGATCGCCTCAAAGCATTGGATAATGTACATTACATAAGTGTACTTAATTCCACTGGAGTTGACTACATTTTTGTGGTAATTTTTACCAGCCATAATTAAATTATGGGGTATGTGGCGTGCTTTCCTGCCATCAAACGAAAGGAAATTCAATAAATGGAAAGCGCGAAAATGGCGATCTGGCAACTCTATCACGACAGAGTTGTCACTGCAGATGCGGAACATTATTCAATTTATGCCCTTAACGATATAGTCAACAAACACACACATGAGTTAACAACCGCGTTGGCTACCGCAGCGGCAACTGTGCGTATACGCAATTTAATTTGCGTATCTCTCACTGTCTGTTTCGCTCTCTCTCTCTCTCTCTCTTTCTCTGTCACTCTCTCTCTCTCTCTCTCTCTCTCTCTCGCTTTGTATTTCCATTTGCGGAAATGAGATTGTTGTGGCTTTAATTTCATTCAAATGCACATTTCGCATTACGTGCTTTTAATGGAGATTTTAAGCTGATGCTTTCCTTGCCTCATATTCGACTTCAATGCACACAGCATGCTTGATAATTGTTGTTTGTAAATATTTATCAAGTCATTGATATAGTTGTTCATATGAAAAATATACTGCTACCCAGTCAGACACACTTTTATATATATATGTATATATATTCTTTAAATATATAAGTCACACGTCGAAATGTTTGCACTGCCGATAACATTTGCCCGTCTTTTAAATCCCGGTGCAATGCTCACCAAAGAGCTCAAGATGAAGATATACAACTATGAGATGCTGAAGCAGGAGAAGACCCAGCTGGAGCAGGAGATAAGTGCATTGCGCAAGGAGCAGGACACCATTGAAAACAGCTTGGCTGAGGCCTATGCCGAAGTTGATTTTCAGCGTTGTCTCAGCGGTCAGTTAATATATCCACGGAATGATACCGATTTGGAGAATTCCATTCAACAGCATTTAAGCATTATTATTCGCAAATTGGGAAGCATCTATGAGCGTAAATTGTATTTGGATGTGGACTTGCAGAAGCAGAAGTCCGCTATTGAAAAGGACATTGTGAAAGTGAATGCGGAGACTGCTGCAGCAGCTGAAGCCGGTTCCACTTGAATGGGGACATGAATCTCAATTTAATCGTTAACTTTGAGTGCATTCCTAAACTCAAACTTAATAGATCTTTATGTTTTTTGAACTCATCAGATTTTAGTTGAAACTACACAGGAAGTCAACCTATAATGCTTTTGACAATTTATTATTGATATTAATCAATACATAATTAAAATGATTTAATACATTCAACATTTTTCTGAATAAAGTTTATGCTTTTTGGACAGCTAATTTAACTACACACTTAGTACACACAAAACAAACTCGAAAATGTGTTGCAACAGATAAATTCATGCTTGGAAGCTGTGCTAATTAGCTTATTGCAAAGAAATTCTCACACAAAGACAGAGATATTTTTTTTTGGTGTTAGTTTTTCTTTTGCACCTGAATTTAGATAGATATATCTAGATATATGCAATCTATATGCAAAGCTTGTTATTTCCGCTGTTGACCAAGGATACTAAGCGCACTTATTAAATATGAGGGTCAAGACGGTTCCCTTTGGCTTTTCACTTAACTATGTCCCTTTATTTCCTTAGTCCTCTTTTTTGGCAGGGTTGCTGTGGTTGTCATTCATATGCAAATGAACCGTCGAACCGTCCAAAAATTGCAATGAATTTAAATTACCCAAAACTGTGTCCTTTCACAGCACATAGAGAGAGGGAGAGAGAGGGGGTGTAGTTAGTGTGATGCACTTAGGAAAGATCTGGCAGAGTGACCAATAAAAAAAAATATAATAATAAAGCTGGGCGCGTGTTCTAATTAATAACGCCACGTCGACGGGGCATCATTGCTGTTTGAGCCCCAACATTTTTTGCTCTGCACGAATTTCCCAACGGCATTTGTCGAATGCAAAACCAACACACACACACACACATACACACAATAATAAGAAAAACGACGAACCGTTGAGTTGGCAAAAATACAAAAAAAAAAGAAAAAGAATACAAAAAAATGAAATGAAACAAAAGAGAAATAGAGATATCTCATTATGGACAAAGCAGGCCAAACGAGCAGTGCCACAATGAATATATATATACTTATATATAATATATATATACACACACACACATAGGGAAAGAAATGAAAAAATTATGCGAAAAGCAGGCATTTGGCCATTCCTTAGGCATAGTCGCTCAACACGACCTTGTGGCTAGCTATAAGTGTCTGTATGTGTCTGTGTGCATGTGATTGTGTATGTGTGTGTGAGTAAGTATGTGTGTGTAAGTATATTTATGAATTTGTTTACAACGAGCCACTGGACATCAACTGGGGAAAGTCCGTTGAAAATGTATCTTTTTTTGCCTCTACCCTGTAAGCACAGAAATGCGCTAATGGGTATTATAAAACTATGCAAAGGTTTGTTATACATTATTCTTTTATATAATATATAGTATTTTGAACAACTTTAATATTAAGATCATAATACTCAGTAAGCTAAAGATATATTCTCAGATTAAGCATCATTTTGAAGCAAATTTGAGCTTAGAACAATAAGTTGGTTCTTTATATTTATCAATTAGCCTTCATCAATCGTCGTATAGAAATATATATAGTGCAGGATATCTTATAGTTGCGTATATCTTAGTTTGCTGTGCATTCTTCACTGTGGGGCTACACGCGTGCCAAAAATAATCAGAATATAATAAGCAGCTTTTGAAGAGGCGCAAACAAATGAGCCATATAATGATTTTTCTTGGGGCCGACTGTGTGCGCCTCGATTTATATATTCAGGTTTATTCCGTTTTCGTCTTTTGTTTGCCCCGCTGCGAAAAATTAAGCAATTTTCTAACATCCGGACGCTGAGACGGACGAATGAATGGATGGATGGTTGGATAGATGGGATGCTGCCTATCTGCTGGCTGGCTGGCTGGCTGGCTGCCTGCCACGCCCATCATCCCTAATTCATGTAGTTGTCGTAGTTCACAAACATTTTGTGTGGCTTCAACGGCTTTGCACACTTTTAGGTTATCATCGGCATGGCACAAAGCCGGATTACAAAAAGGATTTGCGGCTCTTTACATGGCATTACAACTCGTATTTCATGCTATCACTTTTGTATCTTTTTATTTTTTACTTTTGTTGTATTTCTAATTTTTTTCTTTCTTTTTTTTTAATACAAAACTAGTGAAAAGCAACAGTCGCCGCAGGGGTGCACAGCGAATCCTTGAATCCTTGAGACCTTGAGTCCAGCTGCCCTGCCGCCCTCATACTGCCTATCAACATGCAAAATCTCCTCGCAATTTGCCTGAGCAACTCAACTCGACCAGATCACAGAAGATGGTCAGCCAGAGATTAGTTTCACCCATTGTTGGACTTAAAATTCACATTCGCATTCGCCTTTGTTGAACAAATATTTACGCAGCCGTCGAGTTGCTTTTAATACTTAGTTGCTGCGGCACTCGGAAAAAAATCGCCGGGAAATTGAAAAATTTGCTTGAAAGGTTCTGGTTCTTAGAAGCCATTTAGAAATATTCGAAAAAAAAGGTTTTAACTTTAATAAATAATTTTAACAATCATAAAGTCTTCTTTGCATTATATTTTTTTATATAGACATAAGTTTCTAAGAAATACAAATAAAAGTTCTGTGTACACACACATAAACAATACCCTGGAAACTAGACATATTTATTCTAAATTATAATGAAAACTACATTGCAATTGATAATAATAAAATACAGATTCTTAGAAATATTTAATCTTTCACTTTAAGAGCGTACCTTCTTAGTCATAAGGTGAGCTATCCTTTTGTAAGTCTGCGCTCGATTATTTTTCTCAGTGTGCAGCCGCACTTTAACATTAACGGTTACTTTCACAGCGTGTGTGTTATAATTAAAAATATACACGCGTGTCGTAAATTTCTACGCCCACCTCTTGTCTCTCTCATTCTCTATTTGCTCGTTTCTTTTGCCAGACCACAGGGCGTATGAAAATTCAAAGAAAAAAACCTCCCAACAAACGGCACATCATCATTATGGCCCGGTCGTAACAAGATTACAATGCTGCATATTTACTCAACGCGAATGGAATTGTGAGGTTGGAAAATAAAGTCGTTTGATTTCGCTTCAGTGAAAAACTAGTTTTAATTGCATTCACTCTCACTCTCTCTTTCTCACGGTCTCTCTTTCTCCATAGAAAACGAGAAGTGTAAATAAAATAATAACTGAAAGCATCAAAAATCAGGAAAAAATGGGTTTCTTAGATCTTTTTTTTATCAATAGCTAGTAAGTTTTGCTATGATAATTAAAATTAAAATAAATAATTATAACTATTTACTTTTAAAAAAACTCATTTTAAGATCGATTGTTCCTCTGTTAATTATATGATATGGAAATCCGTTCTCGATCAATTGTTGTCAATTGGCTAGTGTTGTTGATCAAGAAGATATAACCTTTTTAAAGTCGGGGACGTATCCTTCAAACTTCACGACCAAATTATAGTATCCTGTACAAGTATATATATAATTTGTATTATGTGGTCGGCTACATAAATTTAGTCTTCCTTTAATAATAAGATTGTCGGTTTGAGCTACTTTCCTTTTTGCAATAGCTTAGTATTTCAGTTGCCCGAAACCTTTCACAGCACGACGCCCCAAGGCCATCTGAGTTTATTTATATATATATAAGAAAATATTTATTTTATTTATTTTACTATTCTTTAAGAGCTCTTTTGCAAAAGAAAACGTTACTGCGTGTGACAATAAGGAATTCCTCTATGTCAATAGCAATACTTTCCTTTAAAAGAAAACTGTGACAAATTTAATTAAATATACAATATGCACTTGGGAATAACTAAACAAGATATCATACTTAAATGAAACTTATGCTACTAATTCCTTAAGCGTTTTAGCTTAAGACTGATTGCAAGTCTTCGAGCAGAAATAGCTGACAGGATTATTGTATATTTACTGCTGGCAAATTCTTGTTATTACACCCTTCAAATCATTGGAAGTGGTTGAGGGGTGTAATGAAGTCAGCAAAATTATATAACTGGCGGAAGGAGGCATCTCTGAGATCATAAAGTAAATATGTTAATTCAGGTTTAGAGTAAAGATTTAGATTTTATTTAAAATTAAATTTAGAATATTAATTCTTGAACGCAGATTGAGTTAAATTTTGTCGATTAAAATCGATATCCGATTGCTATAAAATACATTATTATTGATTAACTGTAAAAATTTCTGAATTCTAATTCTTATGATTATTTAACAGGGTATATCCTAGTCGAGATATTTCTCGACTGGCGTATTCTAAATGATTTCTTTGTGGCTTTCATGTCGACAAGACTTCACATTTTCATTATTTAAGCGGATTGCATTTGTCTTCGTCTGAGCAGGCGTTCAGTTAATTATTATTTCTCAAAATGCTGCTCAACCTGATATTAAATTAAGACACAAAAGTTAATCAAAGTTGTTCAATACAAAATTCAACACCACATGCAATAAATATGAATATCACTTTATATTCACTCTGCTTAATCTGCTTATTCAAACTGACTTGGTCAATATTGATTGGCGAATTGGACAGCATTTAGCTAAAACCACCAACAGTGTTGCACAAAAGTCTATATACATGTGGAAGCAAATGCAGTACTTAAACCGATTCGTATGCAAATTCAATTTAAAGCCCATTACAATCTATAAACAGCGAAATTCGAATTCAAGTGGCAAAAACACACACATGTTGCATGTGGCAACAAAAATTGTCTGTAAAATGGTCGAAATTAGCAAAATTACAAAAAAAAATATATATATTCCCACATATTTGTAAATGTATTTCACTGTGGCTTTGTGTATACAAATTAATATCTAACCAGTTTATTTGACAAATGTTCAGACAATGCGGAATTCTACACACACAGTCAAGCACACACACACACACTTACACACTCAAATACTGTGACCCTTATCAATGGGAATAACAATTTCAGTGGACACTGGACAAAAAAAAAACCAAATTAAAAGTTGAGCATGCAAATACGATGATTTGATGTTTTTGTATTGGTTTTGGTTACAAAATGGTTTTTATTGAATGTTGCCATCGCAGCCATATAGGTGTGTATACCCTGTGTGCCAAATGACAGCTAAGAAGGGTATCACCAACATCTCAAACAGTACGAATGGAATTTGACACCTTGAGAGATAGAGATTTAACCATTTGACAACATAAAACACTAAGAATCGATTAAGGGGAATTTATA